GAATCTTCTGAGGTGGGAAATTTCTGCTTGAAAGGACAAGCAGACCAGCCTGGATCATCTAGAAGAATAGAAGATATTTCTTGAAAGAAAGACCTACAGGAAAAATACATAACAATATAGGCAGTCCAACTGATTACTACAAGACCAAGCAAGTTGCTCACCCAGGAGACATCAAGGAAAGTGATCGGGTCCCCTCAGGGCAAACCCCCTTCCAAGACTAAGACTCAATGGGAATACACGCTCTGATTGGTGACCACGTTGGTCACTGAGGGTAAGTGAGGGGAGAATAGCAATGAAGCTGCGAGCTAAGCCCTACAACGTTCAATAGACTCCTGTGAACCCGGGTGGAGACCTGGTCAGCCAGTAGTGTGCCAAGACCTGGGAACTCTTGGGCCCAGAGTCAGTGACACAGCCACAGAGAACTAGAGTGGATAGTGAAGTGTCCAGCTGGTAAGAAGAGAGGGCAAATGCATAAGAACACCCACACTTTCAGATAATACCCACTTGACTTCCACGAGTGAATGAGCAGAGCTCAACTAGAAGAAGAAAGAAGAGGATAAAAGAGTAATCTGATACAATTTGATGAACTTGACCTACACCTATGGATGCAGTAGCTCAAAAGAAGGAATAAATCTTTATAGCGAGGATCATCCCTACCCCCTCCATACACAGAGTAGACAGGGATGGGCAACTCGGACATTGGCTACCCAAAATGGGGGGGAGGGGGACTACAAAGGCAAGAAGTGACTGGTTTACAAGCTTTCAACAGGGAGCCTAGATCCAGAGGACGAGGACGTAGAGGAAAGTAGTATCTCCAATCTGTCTGGGCGGGGCTGATGAAAGTAGATGTGGATAGATCTCTTGTGATACAATAATGAATCATTGTTATCAGGACTGATTGTGAGGGTTGGAAATGTAAAGGTAGACGTTTTGTAGCAAAAGGAGGGGAGTGATTGACTTTGCAGTCTAGGAGCAGAGGTCCCTGGGACCATCAAGGGAGAAGAGTGGAGAGCGGGAAGCTACCAGAGAAGCAATGATGCCAGAGATGAAGGCAGAGACAATGACATGAAGAGATGGAGTGATTGGGGACTTTAGACCCAGAGGGGCTGTGTGCTGACGACTGGGGGGCAGGCTTGCAGGGTATATATACCCTTTAGTTGGTTGATGATGCATAGAGGGGATTGTAACCATGGCAATGAAACGATATACGAAAAGATGAATGTAAAGCTAAAGTTCTCCCATGTAAACTATCACATAATTCACACTAAAACATTTAAAAAAAGACAACAACAACAAAAAAGAGTCTAGACAGTTTCATTTCTTTATGTCTCAAAGTTTAAAGATAGTATAAAATATTCTCTAGGAAACTCAGAACTCAGCAGGTAACATAATGTAACGTCATACCATTGTGACAACAACTCAGTATTCAAACATCCTGGGCACAAATGTTTATACAACAAAGATATTTTTCTTCTAATTTTTGATCACCTATGGTTAGAATATTGGGAGAAAGATGAGGCTTTCTCCTCTCTCATTGGCTTACAGCCTCAGAAACCCTATATAGGCTCACTGTGAGTCAGAACTGACTCCACGGCACTTAACAACATGTTTAAAAAATAGTAATATGTTATGAGCTACCTAGTGTGTTTTGCTGCTGACCTTCCATGTCTGAAGTTATATGCTTCATTCTTTTCACTTTGCAAGAGGCATGGGGGAAGACCATAACAGAACCTTCTCTCTCCTCAACCTCTGTCTCTTCTCCCTATTGCATCTTTCTGTTAAATGTATTAGAACCTTGTCCCTCCAAGCTCAGATTCCCACTGTTTTGTGCCACCTCAACTTCTGCAATGCCAATAATCAGGAAGAACGTCCAGCACAGGTAACATTTAGTTCTGTTGTATGAGGGGCATTCAAAAAGTTTGTTGGAAAATTGACTGAGAAGATAAAGCATTTTGGAAGCCCCTTGTCAGAATCACAACCGACTCTACATGAAATCTTTATAAGACAAGGAAACTGGTGATGCAGGGGGCATTGGATAGTTCGCTCAAGGTTAAATAATGACCAAATACAGATCCAGTATCTCCTACAGATAGGCAAAATGTCTCAATCATCTTGAGAACGGGATGCTGAGACATGGCTTGCCAAATAAATTAAGCATCGTAAGCCATTCCTTAAAGAAATTGGGCTGTGTATTTACAAAAGAAATAAAGATGCAATGAGAGAGGAAAAGGCACACCAGGATAGATGAAGCATGGCTTGGGACGTTGGCTATGGAAGCCCAGGGACAGTTACCTGAGCCTCAGTTCCCTTAGATGTTTCCATAGCAGTGGTTGCCATGAGCTAGTATTTGCTAACTGCCAGGTATTATTTTAAATAATTAGAGAAGAGTGGCAGAAATTTTCAAATGCTGATCAAGCACTACCAGGCTTCTGTTGATGACATCCATTTACAATACAGGCATACTTTAGAGTCATATGAATTTTTGGTCTCCCAGTGCATATAAAAGTTGTGTTTATACCATACTGTAGTCTACTAAGTGTGCAAAAGCATTACGAAAAAGTTCAAAATATTGTGAGACTAACCAAAATATGACACAGACACATGAAGTGAGCACATGCCGTTAGAAAAAATGGCTCTGATAGACTTGACTCTGAATACATTTAAGACGAAATGAAGATGGTTCAACCAAGCAGGTTACCTGGAATTTATACCTAATTATCACTGTGGTTATGAATCGGGCTGCCAACCTCAAGGTCAGCACTTCGAAACTATCGACTGTTCCGCGGGAGAAAGATGAGGCTTTCTGTTCCCGTAAAGATTTACAGCCTCAGAAACCCTGTACAGGGTCACTATGAGTCCGAACCGACTCCACGGCACACAGCAGCAGCAGCATCACTGCCTCAAAGGAGTTATAGTGGCACACTGGTTAGTGTTTGGCTGCTAACCAAAAGATCAGGAGTTGGAACCCACCAGCCACTCTGTGAGAGAAAATGAGGCAGTTGGCTTACTTAAAGAATATAGCCTTGGAAACCCTCTGGGGCAGTTATACTCTGTCTATAGGATCACGATAGATTGGAACAGACTCGTTGACAATGTACTTGGGTTTCATCTCCTTCATGGGCATGTGTCCAGTCCTGAGTTACAACAAAGAAGCAATGGTACTTTGTGTTCCTTCATAAACAAAAGCCTTTTTCTGGGTAAATAAAAGATACTAAGATTGCTTACCTGCTCTAAGCAGGCCATTTTCTGAAGGCAACTCTGGTGTGGAACTGTATCTAATTAGGGACATTTGGTAGGGCCTTGCTGTTGCTTCCTGCAGTCCATTAATATGGAGAAAACACCTCTCAGCACACCATAAGCTTAAACTGTTAGATCCTGTTTAACAGCCTAAAGAAGTAAATGGATGGAGTCCCTTGAGATTTTCCAGGTGAAGAGGAAGAAGGAGGCTGTTATTCAGGAGATGACAGAGGTATTAAAGCTGGTTTGGGGGTTTTTTTGTTGGTTTTTTTTTTTTTTTTTTTTGGTGTATTTTATTAAATAGTGTTGTTGTTAAGTGCCATCGAGTTGGTTCCTACTCATAGCAACCCTGTATAGGGTTTCCAAAGAGCAGCTGGTGGGTTTAAGCCAACGACCTTGTGGTTCAAACAGACCTTGCAGTCGAGTGCTTAGTCACACCAGGACTCCTAAGTGCCATCTAACAGCATCTTTTAAATATATAGATAAAGTTCCTTTATTAATTAGGCTAGACCTTTTTCCCTTTTATTGGCCCCTGCCCATGAAACTATCTTTTATCATGTCCCTTCATAATTCTGATCACCTTAGCCCACTCCTTAGGAATTTCAAACAAAATCAGCACAGTAGGGAAAAAAAAAAATATTTATTTTCTAAAGTCATTACCTTGACAGGCAAAACAAAAGCATCTTTTTCCAATTTCATTCAGAAATGCATAAAAAAGTATACATAGACCAATATGGCCTGTCCAGACATATATTTAACATGGTAAACATAAGGAATAAATTGTTTGAATATAAATATCGATAAAAAAATAAGTACATCAAAATTTAATCCAGCCTCTTCCACTAGCCAGTTACATCAAGGAAAATAATTTTACTGCTTTAAAGCTTAACTCGCATTTACTTTGTAATGTCATTCATAAACAACCCTATGCCATCGGGCTTCCAAAACTCAGGGGAAGGGAAATCACGTGACTCAATGATCTTTTCTTTTCTGGATCAGAGCTAGTAGATTACACTGAAAATGCTGTATCTACTCCTGACACATTAGACCAGAATTTCATGAGGCTAGGATTTAGCATAGGGGTCATTGGGAAAGGGGTGGCAGAAAGAGGACAAGTTTAGGGAGACGATAATTAAAGGCAAAACCAGGTGATGACATTTCTGCCAGAGAGCAATATAGCTGAGGTAGACTGAAACGTATCCCGATTTACAGTAGTAACAGCTTCTTTCCGTTTTGCATTTTTATGAATTAAAAAACAAACTTTTCCCCCCCCCCCCCCCCCATCTTTGTCCTTCAAGTGTTTTCAATTTGTGCATTCCTTAGAAATCTTTGCATGGAACTTTAGAGTTTCTCCCTGAAATGTGCCAGACGCCTGAGTCAGACACAAACACTCCCTTCGGGGCCTCTTCAGAAACTCCACCCTCTTGTGGAATCTCCTGGCTTCCCCCTGGGGGACACTACCCAAGTGCACAAGTCACTTTGTCTTTCGGTTTTCTCTTGGTTGCCACTGTCATCACAAGTGAGGAGAGATGCAAGCAGTTATCATCGATGGAAGCAAATGAAGATAGATTGGAGGAATTCCTGAACTTTTCTTGGAATGGTTAGAGCAAGAACATTGGTCCTTGGTTGGTCTGGAACAAGAAATGGACTAAGAAGGGAGGATGCTCTTGCTCTGATCCCAGGCAGTGTGGAGAGGGTACAGAGTTAGGCCCCACAATTCTCTGACCAAGCAATGTCTTCAGACAGGCCCAGATGACCGATAATCAGTGTGTTCTGTTGTGCATCAGTTTCTTTTCTCTGTAGAGCTCAGCTTTTAGCTTTGCAATACGAAATGATGTTTTGATGCTGTTGGTGATGGTCTCCAACCTATTAAAACAAGACAAGAGAACAAATGCTGCAGAATAAGCACCACTCGTGGCCAAAGAAACATCTAAAATTAGAATCTGGCTCAAACCTATCTAAATCTGGTTCTTGAACTTTCACCACCGACCGCAACAGGGCGCGCTACCCTTTGATAAAACCTCAAGTGGTATCGATTACCACTATGAAAATAAAGCCTGGCACTTGCGCTCACAATGTAAATGAGGGGGAGGGAGAAAGGGAGTGGTCATATCTAAGTATTAAATAAAACTTAAAAAATGAGCTAAAGGTCTGTCTTCTCTAGTCACATCCCAATTGCCATCACTATTATATTCTGTTTGCAGAAACTCAGCACAGATTTACGTTGCCAAGGGCATCTTCTTAATCACAGGAGGTGGGAAGTAATAGAAGGATTGAAGGCTCCTCAATTGGAAAGAGAAAAAGAGAGGTAGGCCCAAAGCAAATGTTTTGTGGCAATTAATAAATTTTTGTTCTGTCTTACTTTTTTCTTTTTTGCAGAGGAAAAGAACTAACTGTTAATGCCAGGTATGGCACTGTAGAGTAAGGACTCAATTGCTAACCACAAAGTCGGTGGTTCAAACCCACCAGCCACTCTTTGGAAACCCTACACAGTATGGCTATGAGTCAGAAGTGCCTCGACGGCACTTAATAATAAATAATACAAATAAATAATGTCCAAGATGATTATCTTGTAGTCTAGGGGACCCTAGATCATACAAAGGGCTTCAAAAAGTACGCGGAGAAACCGAATGAAAAGATAATGCCATTTTTTCATGCACTTTTTGATGTTCCTGGTCCACATGGAAGCTGAAAGGGCAGGTTGTCAGTCACAGACAGTAGTAAACAGCCCAGAAGGCGTTGCTGACTGCCAGCCCTGTGTTCAGAACACTTTGATCAGAGAACTTCTTGCTACTGGATTTCTAGGAAAAGTTTCCATGGACCATCGTAGGGAAATGTAGAACATGTGACAGATGGAAAAACAGGTTTCCTCCCTCTATCTTGTGAATTCCAAAATATTGAGGGTTTGGAAGGCTCATCAACAACCCTGCTCCTAACAACCCTGTTGTGTTGCTTAATCCAGATCCTTCTCTGTTCCCAGCACATGACTGACTCAGAAACCAAAAAGCTTCTTGGAATGATATCAGCTAACCACCACTTACATTTCCCCATTAAAAGAAAATACAATCAGTCCCACCAAATGGCACGTTCTAAATCTTACCCTTCCTCTCTAAAGTCTTAATGTCCCTTTGGTCACTTGAATAACTGCTACTTCGAAGGGGGGCTTCATAAAGTGAAGAAAATGGAATTAAAGGATGATGGGAAAGGTTCAGAAAGGAGACTGTAAAGCAGAAACTCAGGGAGGAAGCAGGATGAGTGATGTTAGGCTGTAGGGATTGCAGTCAATGAGATGGAAATAATACGTATGAATTGTTGAATGCAAACCTGATGGTGTGCTCTGTAAACCTTTATCCAATTTGTAATAAAACATTAAAAAAAAAAAGATATGAACTTTTTAAAGCCCTCTCAAAATGACACTTTAATTTAAAAGAAGAAAAAAAAATATATCTTTACCTTGAATGATTTTTAATTTATTAGGGAAAGCAGTAAGTATATTAACTCTACTCATAGAGACAAAAATTGAATATGAACAAATGACTAAGTCTTTCTCGATATTTTTTGCTTGGGAAATCCACCCGTTAACTGTGTAGACTGATAGCAAGTATATATAACATAGGTCACCAAAGTGTACTGTGGACAGCAGTTTACATTCAAGGCCTCTCAGAAAATTTAAGAAAGATTCCTTTGCTCTTCCTAATCTACAGAATATGAAGATCACCTTTTTTACTGCTATTAAGCCTTTCCCCAGGGAGGCAAGAATGGTTGGAGGAGCCGCTTTTTCGCCTGCAGGTCTCTTACCTTCTTAGTTTTCTTCCTTCCACCTGTTGCTGATGAATACACTTCTCTCCAAACTGGGAACAGTCTATCTCTTTCTTAGGGTTATTCCAGACTTTCTCCATAGTGTCTTGGGCCCTGTTAAAATACACAGAAAGAAAATTTAAGCAATGGTGTCTTTAATTGTACCTGGATTCTCACTGTCTCTTTAGAGCGTTGATTATAGGAGGAGGAAGGTTAGGGGGGTAATTGAGAAGCAAAAGTGTTTTTACTCACCTGAGTTCTTTTCCTGCTTGGCAAAAATTCCAGCACTTCTTGTCTCTTTGGCTAGTACATTGGCATCTGTTCCTGGTGTCTGTTGCCTTTGTAGGAAACAAATCCTTTAAGGATCGCTTCGACCTAGAAGGGCTTCCAAGTCCATATGGAACAATGTGCCTATTAGAAAAGAGAGGAACAAAAGATATAAGCATAATTAATAATATTCAAAATGGCCCATTCTTTGGGGTACACTCATTCCATTGGGAGCACAAGAAGCTCATTCCACAATGCTCCGTAGTGTGACTTAGGAGCAAAGTGTGGCCCATCAGGGACACAGCCCACCAGTGGCCCTGAGTATGTGTATCCAACACAAGAAAGCCCAACTTAGTCTACTGCCATCGAGTCAATTCTGATTCATAGCACCCTCTATATTGGTTCTGAGACTGTCAACCTTTATGGGAGCAGATAGCCTCCTCACCTTTCTCCCTCAGAGTGGCTGGTGGGTTTGAATCTTTCAGTTAGGCTCCGCACCTAACCTACAGTGCCACTAGGGTTTCTTAGGAGAGAAAACCTGTCTTGCTAATTCAATGAAATTCCATTGCAACTCTTAACAAAGTTCAATTTCTTCTTGACACCAATAATAGTACTTTTTGTCCCAAACTGTGCTTTGGTGTCTGTTTCATTATTTTCTACATTGCTTAATGTTCTATTCCATGAACAACTATTTGGTGGTAGTGGTGGTGGAGGATTGGGAGGGAGAGACTTTAATATAAAACCACTCCTCACAAGATAGCAAAGATCTTGTTTGATTCAAATGGTATATTATAAATGCTAAAACTGCCTGCTGAGGCGGCAGAACTAGACAATTCACAACTATGTTTGTACACTTCTCCTGCAGTTCGAGTGTATTCTCAACTCAATTCTGACTCATAAGGATCCTACAGGATCGAGCAGAACTGTTCTGCAAGGTTTCCATGACTATAAAACGGAACTGGAAAAAGCCATATCTTTCTCCCTCGGAGCCAACTGGGGGTTCGAACTGCTGAACTTTTGGTTAACTGTCGAGTGTTTTACCACTGTGCCATCAGGCTTCCTTTCCAGCAGTTCAGGGATAACAATGAATATAAAAGAACTCTTTGCCAGAAGGCTCTCCAGTAATTTTCAGTGTGCTCCCCTTTGAGCCTCACCTAAGAAAGAACATGCTCCCTTTGGAAAATCTTCTGAGTACAAGGTTTTTGTTTGGATTTGGTTGGCGTTGGGCCATCCTTTGCTATCACTTGGGCATTTGTAGACACAGTGAATGTGTTCTTGTTTAGATGAGCTAGTTTTCACAGGGAAAGAGTGAGAACTGTCTTCCCTGCAGTGGCAAAGAAAGCTACTTCATGTTTCTCTATCTCGTGAAATGGGCTTTACTGTAGGGAAGGCAGCAGAAGTAAGGAACCCAGCTTCTAGGTCTGCCACAAACTCACTTCTGTACAACTGACAGATACTTTGGGTTTTAGCTTTTCTAAATGTGAAAAGATTGAATTATAACTCTATTGTTCTTTCTACCTCTCAAGATGTTACTCTCCCATGAGAAGCCCTGGTTGAACTCACCCATATATGACACCTAAGCAACTGATTCCCCAAACTCAGTCTGATCCCACTGAAAGAACCTTCCCCTGAGGCGCCTCCATTTAATTTTTCCTCTGAAATGTATAGCAGTCTCCCAAATGCCTTTTCTGCTTTCCATCTATCTTGGAATGAGTAGGCTGAAGAGAGCCCCTTCTATTTCTGTGGACTGAACTATCCCATTATTTTCCGGGACCAGGGAAGGAGAGGCACTGTTACATGTTGTTAGAAATGCAACCTTTGCAAACCAAAAGCTCCTCAGAAAAGTCATTGTAGTAACTAGCTGGGGAGCTTCCCTTAACTTGCTAATGAATGACTAGAGTTCTGATGCCCTCTAGAGACTCACTCGGGAGTGTTGATCCAAATGATGTCGAGGTGGCAGAAGTAGACACACTCTTTGTCCATCAAGGACGAGCAGGAGCAGCGCTTGGATCGACGGGGTCGCCAGGGTGTACTGGGTGAGGGGCTGTGACCTCCATTCTCAGCATCTGTGCTGAGCTCAGCACCTAAGACTGCTGGAGAGAGACACAAAGGGCAGGTCAGTGAGGTACCATCTCCTCAGAGACTCTGAGACAGACCGGCGCATAATCTTTACACCAGAGCTAGCAGAGTTGATGAAAATTGACACATGGATGAAGCAAACAGCCTGCCTTCATCAAGACACACAGGGCTCTAGGGTTTTAGCTTCTTAGTATGACTTCACTTTACCCCCAGTAGCTTATTTGCCTTCAGGAAGATTATAGGAAGGCAAGGGAGATAAATAGCTGAAAGGTGCTCATCAACTCCTTTGAAGCTAGAAGTTCTTGGAAATGCTGCCTCTTGGAAGTTGCACTTGGGCTCTCTACATGGTATTTAGTAGGGCAACACAGTCATCCACAGCAGTTTACAATTGGTTGATGACCAAAAATCTAAAAATAAGTGAATCCCACAGCCTAGTCCTTGCTCCGGAGTAATTTGCCCATCCGGAATGCCCTTCTGTCTAGGTAGGTACCCACCACTTTGCACCTTAGGTAACCAGATAATACATAACTCTTGAAATTAGGGATAGAAGGGCAAGGACACTGGGCAGATGATTAGAGAAGGGGAGAGAAATTATCTCTACAACAGTCATTTCAGGCAGTAAATGCCACAGAAACCGCGAACCCAAGGTTAGGCTGAGTTGCAGCTCTGGTTAGTTAGTCAAGGTTCCCTGGATTCTGAATTCAAGACTCCCCGCAGCAGCAGCAGCAGCAGCAGCAGCATGTGGGCTCTTCCCCCTCCTTCCCCACCTTAACCTGGCAGATTCAGCCCACTCCTTCAGACTGACAATCCAGCCTCACGGCTTATCTGCCCAATTTTGTACATTTCAAATGATCAGACACATTCCAGGATTTTCATTCCCCTGACATCCTTTCTCTTTAGTCAGGGTCATGGAAAGACAAAAAAAGTGCATTGACCCCAAAAGGGGGGAAACAGGCAGATGCATACATACTCTAATCTGTGAGTAGTCACCATTTATCCTAGCTCCCCTCCCAAGACAGGTGAATACAACTGAGGATAAAGTTCACACTGCTTTTGGGTGCCAAAAGAAACCTAAAGTCAATCATGACAAATTTTAAAGAAAACAGTTGTTCACACCCAGAAATTACCTAGGGAGATAGGGAGAGTGGTTTATTTAGCAGACTGTTCTGCAGTCTTATATATTACTTACACACTGCTTTTATATTATTTGAATGATTTGGACAAAATCCCTTGGCTTTGCACTGAGGTGTTTAAATATTTGTACACATTCACACAATATTAAAGCAGTGTTGCTGTAAGTTATATTTCTATATATCCAATATATCTGAATGTACAGACATTGCAAATATACATTTGATTAAACTGTATCTTGTCTTTCTTCTTCTTGAGTTGTTAAAGAAGTCAAGGAAATGCCTTACATAATAATGATGATGAAATTATTATATCATTATATGATAAGGGATACATTAATATAATGTAAGTAATTGCATACAGCAGATATAGATTTTTTTTTCATGAAACTATTAAGTAGTTTTAAGTAATAATTCCTAGACCTTTGATATCTGGGCTGCAGTAATCAAAAAGAAGTAGGGGAACAGAAGCAAGAAAGGCACTAAGGAGGATAAGAAAAATATTAACATTCCGAGATTTACAAGCCAACATGCCTACCTGTTCCTGGAGCGCCTTGGAAAACCACAAACAGCAGATAGAAGATCATGGGGAAATAATCCATTCTGAAAAAGGGATCAAAAACCTGCTCTGCAAACTAAACCCAAAGCCGAAGGAACAAAAACAACTTCAGTTCTCTCAAAGCGCTTCTGGTGGTTCGGAACCTAAAGTTAGCTTTCAGTCTAATAGGGAGAAAAAGAGGTTTCTGCCCGGAGAGAGGGCGGCAGATCCGTCTGCAGACACGCGCGGCGGTGGCGTGCGGAGAAGGCGCAGAGATCCGGGCTCTGGCAGTTTCTGCTTCAGCGCTGTTGCAGAAGCGCGTCTGGCTTGGACAGCTCTCCGCAGGCTTTTTATATTGAACCCCTATAGAGGTGGGGGGTAAACAGCTCCAACTCTATTCCAGCCTCAGACAATGTTATTGTGTGATTAGTCACCAAAAGGCAACGTGCAGCCAGAGATAAGGCCGGGCTCTAAAGGAAATCACTGCTAACTTCAGAGGCAGACGCCGTCTGACAATTCAGGGGCAGGGCTAAGAAAAAGAAAATACCCATTAGAGATCTTTGGAAAACCTGCCCGTGCAGTGCTTGAGTCGGTTTTCCCTTTGCAAGCTGCCAGCCCCAGAGTTCAAGAACCAGAAGAGGGACTCCAATAACAATGTCATACCATTGGTATGAAAAGTATGAGCTACAGTTTAAATAGATTGTATTGTTGTGTGCTGGGATTTTTTTTTTCTTTTTTTTTTTTAAATTGTTGTTCACTTCAATTTCCTTTTATGTCGCTCCGATTTCTTAGTCTTGGTCAAACAGGAGAACATTCTTCCGTAATTACCCCCACCCCCAATAGACTTTCTCTTTATTCAAGCCCCCTCCCCCCAAGTCTTTTTTCCCCCCTGAAGTTCATTGCAACAGAAATGGTGGAAAAGATCGATCACAGATTGGCAAGAAATGGGAGCTAAAGAAAGAAAAAAAAATTTTTTTTTAATTTATTTATTTTACAGCTGTTCAGACACATGCACAATCTTTTCAGTATTACTGATGAGAAGCCCCCACTAACCTTTTCCTCCCACACTTCCCCGGTGGTCCCATTGTAAATGCCGCCATACGGAGAAATATCAGGAATGGAACACCAGAGGGAGACGAAGAGCTACAGGGGCTGATATTTTATTAGGAAAAGAGTAAAAGCTTTGACTTCTAAATGGCAGTAAGGAAATATCCCCTGTGAAAGGACAGAGGAAGGTTAAGTTCCGGCACCTAATTTAGGAGAAGGGGCATTCCTCAGAATAAACCATTTACACAAGGGACCTGTCTCCCCTTTGGCTTATTCAGTTAGGGCAAAGTGGCTGTTTTTGTATATGGTTATATGCAAGGCGGATGGTGTTAGAAGGAGGAAATGCCCGTGCTGAATAAGTGGATCAGATAATACCTCCCATTTAATAATGTGTTTATATTTTCAAAGCAACTTCCCTTGAGTTTAACCTTGAAATACTCTCTAAGAGCAGTTACTGTAGTGGTGAAAAAATACTGAAATATAAAAAGTGAACCATAAATGTAAGACGTTTCCTCCTCCCCCCACTTCCATCAGTCCCATTCTGCAGGTGAGAAAACTGAGGTTTGCAGAATTTATGTGCTTCACTATCGTCCTCAGAGTAGTTGACTTAGATTCAGTATCAGGAATTCAGGCCACTTTTCGCTCCTGGGAAACCCTATACAGGGTCACTATGGGTCGGAACCGACTGCACGGCACTTAACAACAACAGCAACAGGATAAGTTTAAGGTGTCTTCCATCTGCAGGGAAAAGATGAGTTTTCGTCTAAAAGCCCCACTGCTCATCCAATTGATACCAATTCATAGCGACCCTATAGAAGACCATCAAATAGACATGCCCTTAACTTCTCATCTTGCTTTACTCCCCAGTTTTTCAAAGGCTGGAATTGACATGTGTACCCATTTTTAAGACTTGGTGACAGTGGGGATTCTAACAGAACCATCCTTCCCCATCTTTCTCTACAAGTGACGGGATAGGTATTATCTGTGGGCTTAGACACACCTGAGCCCTCTTCCCTTTGGGCATTCCCTGAAATTTAGCGGAGGGATAAACAGGGTGATCCTGTGTGAGACCTGTCCCCTAAACAGCCCCTGCTCCAAGAGTTGGGGATGGGGGCAAGGAGGCAGGAATCCTCCCTCCCACACCCATATGTAGAGATGCCCCCACCCATTCCCCAGGGCCCTCTGCCTCCTCCTCAGTGTGTTTACCTCAGCCCAGCCCTGAGGCTCAGGAGGGCACAGCTCCCCCTAGGACCAGGAGGCGCCGGTCAGGAAGCCGACTGTGCCCACCTCAGCTGGGGCCAGTGTCCCAACCTCCCTCCCCTCAGCAGACCACAGGGCGAGAAAAGAAGAATTAATGCCACAGTCAGGAGCCAAGCTTTGCCCTAGAGCAGGAGAGGTGGCTTGGGCAATGTGTCTTGACAGGAATCTCTAAGGTCTCAACTTTTTTTTTTTATCCTCCTGGCAGCTTTGACAAAACACTGACAACCTGTCCTCAGCTTCTCCCCCGGAAACAACTGCCCCCGCTTAACCCAGTATCCTCTTGGTCCAGGTCACCCTCAGCAGCCACCCCACCCCACCCCCACCCCGGCTTTGATGAGGCTGGCTGATGCCCGCAGCACCCAACCATCAGGTGGAGAAGTGAAGTAAAATGAAACTACCCACGCACCTTCCTGCCTCCTCCCTCCTCTCAGGCTGTGTCATATACTGAATGTATTTGAATGGTAAATACAGCCAGTGGGCAACAATCTATCTCTACTCTTGAGCTCCCTTCCCCTGCCTTTTGGAGCACTGTTGAAATAAATGTACAGGATTTCAAGTCATTCCAAGCACAAAGTCCTTTGCATTGCTTTGCATTCTGAGTATCCAAGTCATGTGTGTGTTCCGATGTATTTCCATTTCTCTGTTTTTGTGTGTGTTGGGTGGGGGGGCCATGGCATCTGCTCTCTCAGTCCCCTTTTCTTGCATTGCCTCCTTTCCTTCTGTAAGAGGAGGGGAGCGCTCCAATCTAGTCACAGAGACAGCTGAAACAGGGACAGGCAGCTGACCAGTAAGACATTTATTTTCCAAAGAAATCAAGGGAGAAGGTGGGCAGAACTCCAACAAACCAGTTTTACAAGCTAGATCCTCCCACCTCTCCACTTAAGAAATTGCTAAGTAATGGAGACAGAAGGGGAGAGGTTATAAGAGCTGCATAAATCTACATGAAAGACCCCTCAAAAATCTGGGAGGGGAGAGGTTCTTTGTAGCCACAGTCATGTTCAGATAGGAAAGGGAAGTATAGTGAGATGAAGGACAGAAGATGACTTTGTTCTCCAGTAGGACAGTTTGCTGGTCTGGCTTTTTGATGTTACTCTTGGATAATGGAAACTGTTTGATAAAGTTCTTTTTCTGTGTATTTCTTTCTGTAACCCTTGCTATGTATTAATAGATAGCTATAAATAAAACACCCTGGGCCCCAAATACAGATACGGCACAGTAGCAAAATGTACCATTTTTAGCACTCCTCAGCTTTGCTCTTTCTCAACTTTTGCGTAATAAAATTTGCAACTTTGCCAAGCCAGTAAATTTGCTGTGAAATGTTGCATTTAGCTCAGCAGGCAAACAACAGATAGCGGTTAGGTTGCTTGATGACAGCACAGAGAATGTGAGATTTAGTTTATGGCAGGCAAGGTGAAGCTGTTTTCATCATATGTTCATTTATTGTGGACTGTCTACCTTACGTAGCCCTGTTGAGAAAGATTGTGCTACAGCACGCCAATGACACATTATACACCCCCAGAAGTCATGCATAAACACAGCTTCTCCTACAGTCCAAAGAATAATGGTTGATTTAGCACAGGAAATATAATCATGGTCAGAATAGAGTCACCACATGCATTTTTAACACATACAGCATACGCAACTTTGTTTCCTTTACATATTCATCTGTATTTCAATAACAGGTAGCAAATGGGTAGTTTGAAAGGACATGTTGAAACTCAACAACAAAAAGACAAACAACCCAATTTAAAAATGGGCAAAGGACTTGAATAGTCCTTTCTCTAAATGAGACATGCAAATGGCCCATAAGCACATGAGAAGATACTCATAGTCCTTAGGCATTTGTTACTGTTTTTGTGAAGTGCAGCCGAGTTGGTTCCGAGGAGTGACTGGTGAGTTAGAACCACCAACCTTGTGGTTCAAAGTGACCTTGTGGTCTAGTGCTGTATCCCACAGAGCCACACCCAAACCACAATAATATGCAATCTCACAGAGTCTAGAATGAGTACTAACAGAAAAACGGAAGCCAGAAAATTTCGAAGAGGATGTGACGAAACTGGAGCCCTTGTGCATTGCTAATGGGAATGTAAACTGGTACAGCCATTGTGAAAATCAGTTTGGTGGTGTCTCCACAAATGAGTCATAGACTACCTTGCTGTTGTTGTGTGCCATTGTATTATTTCCAACACACTGTGACCCTATAGAGCAAAGTAGAACAGCCCCATAGTGTTTCTTAGGTTATAATCTTTTCAGGAGCAGATCAAGAGGTCTTTTCTCCCATGGACCTACTGGTGAGTTCAAACCTAAGACCATTCAGTTAACAGGTAAGTTGTGTTAACAGGTAAATTAACATAACCATAGCTTGTTATTTGACCCAGCAATTCCATTCCTAGGTATATGCCTAAAAGACTTGAAAGCAGGGACTCAAAGAGACTTGTACACCAGTATTGTTCATTGACCAAACTGTAGGACCAACCTAACTTCATCAACAAATGAATGGCTATCTGAAAATGCAGTCTGTCCATACAATGGACTATTACTCGGCCATAAAGATAAATAAAGTTATAATGCATGCTAGGTAGGCATGGGTGAACCTTGGAAACAGCTAAGTGAAATAAGTCAGATAGAAAAGGACAAATATTATTATGATTCCACTTATATGAAAGATCTAATAAAGGCAAAACTGTTTGTGAGTCTGGGTAGAGGAAATGGGAGTTATTGTTGAAAGGAGAGTGACTTACTATTTGGGATGATGTC